ATGCATCAAACAGTTGAGTTATACGGAAAATATGCTCCTCACAGCGAAATAGAAACCTATTATTCAATAATGAATGCAAGTGCAAATATGTCCATTATAGTATGCATACTTTTGCAATTTACAAGTAAATAAATCTTTCTTTTAATTTAACTAAGCACTATAAACAAAACTAAATAATAAATAAATTTTTATCAAAATAATGTAAATATTATTCATCAAAAATTCAATTAAAAAGAAATGGCAGCATTCAGGCTGAAATAATATTTAGAATACTTCCAAAACATTTATCTAATGTAAGTTTTAGAGCAGCAAATGTACTTATTCCTAAAAATCAAACAATTAAAAAATGTGCAAGGATACAAAAAGAATATCACAAATTACAACATAAAACTGACCAATAAATACAAAAAAACAGTATTTTTCAATAAATGTGTAATAGTATCTCTTACTAATAACACTGTAAAAAATTGCTAATAAAATGTTAGTAAGGAATTAGAACAAATGGAATGCTAACACATTTCTGGTAATAATATAGAAGAGTAGCATTATTTCTGAAAACTACAGCAATGTGGTTTGTGCTTTATAAAGGTAAAAATAAACCTACTAGATAATGCAATAAATAATTTCACTTCATACATATTTAGGAGACTCTGAGACAAATTCAGAGCAATTATACATAAATGTTTATAAGAGATATTCATAAAAGATAAAATTTGGAAAAATGTGTATGTTAAACAACAGGGAGCAGAGCTCTACAGTAAACGAGTGACAGTCTCAACATTTAAAGCGCAGTAATAATGTACAAATGTCTGTGTTCGCATGTCAGAGCCATTGTTACAGAAAAGGAGACAGACAGTAGTATCCTGTGAGTTCACACATGTGGCCTTTAAAGTTGAATAAACTACTCTTTAGGAAGAGCATTCAAACAGCATTATCTTTGTTAATTTCTCATTTTCTATGAGGCATAGCATCCAGGGAAATGATTGCTTAAAATAATTCACTAAGGAAGCATTAGTTGAGAGAAGTGTATATTTTGTTCGGTGGTGTAGTAATCTGGAAAAATTCAAAAGAAAACAATTAATTGTGCAAAATTTTGTTTGAATATTACAACTCAATAAAAATTATAGAAGTTATAGCACTGAGTATTAGAAACAGAAAATAGGATATCATTCACTGTACATAGCTATTTAAAATCCACCTATGCAATAATGAAATAAATTTGAATTATGGTGGCCGTGTCCTCAAAGAGAATGAATCTTCATCCCACACAGCAATCAATGGCTAACAGATCCTCTAACAGGGGTGGGGCCAGGGGCCTCCTCCATGATCCGTGCTGGAGTTTTGACTGGCTTGAATTTATGCAAGGTTGTGAAGGTAACCACAATTGCAATTTCAGTCCAAAGTTGCACTTCACAGCTCCACTCTCATCTCCATCCAACAGCTTTTATATTCTTTCACCCTCCTCTTCTGCTGCGTTAATTCTGCTATATGAACTTGGATCATGGGAGATTAATCTAGATTATCCACAGCTGGGCTCCAAATTTTATTTGTTCTCAACAATTTGACCAGTGTTAGTCTCTGCATTAAACACCCCTTAGTGCAAAAAGAACCATCTCTTACAAAATAGACAGCAGCAAAAATCTGGGGGTAAAAATACAAATACTTAGAATGCATCTTGCAGCATGATCATTTATCCAAAGAATATGAATTGGCACTAAGTACTCTGGTGTATGATCTCCACGCTCGGTTGTTTTTTTTTTTTTTTTTTTTTTTTTTGGCGGGTGTGGGGCTGATTTATAGCATTAGACTTGCAATCTCTACTGTGGTTTATATCTCATATCCAAGAAAATGTGACTCATTATCAAGATAAACTTCAAGCAACTATTGCACCAGTGGGTACATCTTGTCAGCAAATCATTGTTCTGTACAATGTCCAGTGAGAAGTAAGACTATCGATGTCTTTTCTCCCCAGCAGTCTGTATAGCACCTTCTAGCATTATGCAAGCTAGCCAGTAGGTAAAAAGTTTCCTGATCAGTTCAAGGTTGATTTCTCTATTTCCTGTATCCAAACTGAATAGGTCTTTAGCAATGAGATCTTCTCATCTAGGTATGATGGACAACCAAGAGAAATAACAATAGCCTTTGTAGGTTGGGATGCCTCTGGTGCCTATTTGACTAATAACTCAGAGAAAATTTTATTAGTTGGCACTGAGTCATTCATTTAATCAATGTTATATTCTGGGTACAGCACCAAACAGCAAGTTCTTTTATGATGTTGATATTCACATT